TTATTACCGGTCAAAAAGTGGCCACGTGTTAGAAAAGTGATGAATCACGTGACGGTTACTATTTGTTCTCCGTTTTATTGTTTACTACTAATGCGCCGCAAAATAGCCAATTTCGTAAAAGGTGATGTATTGCATGATTGTTACTAAATGTGGGAAGGTTTGAAAGTTGTTTATATAAGCTTAGTAATTGCTAACCAATAATGTGCAATTAAGGTGCCTATATATGACGGAACAAAGCTTTGTACCTCAGGAGTCAGTGGTGAACAAAATGAGTCGCATTTAATTTGTCATCGCCGAATTTTAAATGTTCCATTCTGCAATCCTTACCGTATTTTGTCTGTGGGATTGTTTCAAAATCCCGCTGTATGTGACTGTAGAGCGTATTGTCAGGAATGCAACGGATGGATGCAGCTTGTTCACCACATTCCGATTATTTTACCTGTGACGGCCGCTAATATTGCAAATATATTTTGCACTTTTTGTTTCCTTATTGATTGTCTTCGTATTTGCAAACCGGCACATTTTTTCCAAGTCTTCTGTGTGACTATTTTACACGGCTCCTTTTGGTGGGGCTCGATGAACACAGAGCACTCACTCATAGTTGCTTCCTTGCTCTCCTCCAGTGTTCCACGTTCTTCTTATGATTTGATGGCACCTCATGATTCGCTTTACTAGTTTCCTTATAGAAGCATTTTCCAGTATCGACTGATGGTATTTTCATTCCTACTTTCACTTTAATGCTTTTACGCTTAATTGCTTGCATTTGCACTGCACAATTGACGCAAAGAATTTTAACACAACAGAAAACAGACTTTAATGTGTAAAAAGTCACCAAAAATGCAAGACATTGTTATTTTATAGATAAAATGATAACACTCTCATTAGTAGATAAAAGAAATGCTTAATGAATGCCATCTGCAGAGGTAAGTGGAAGCTGACATCCAGATCACTGAGCCATTGTGCATGTGGGAATTCTTAAAATCTCGATTATGGTCATGGGTTGATTGCAATCTGCATGTATGCCAAATGCAACTGTGTGGCGACCCCATGTTTAAGCGCGTCTATCATTCATCTTGCAGTACCTCAGAAGAGTTAGCTTTGAAATAGAGAAACTTCAATGTGGTGTGGAACCATTGCAGTATGCTGCAAATTCTAGCTGTCCATTTGCACGGGGAGCAAGCTAACCAATGCCAATTGCTTTATCAAGCATTTACAGCGTATTGTCATGTGGCCTTTTGTAAGGGAAATAGGCACAATTCTTAAAAGTTGTGAACAATTACGTAAGTTGTTTTACTAAAATAAGTCCGGTAATTGGGTTATGTAAGATTTTCAGGTGATGATGCAAGTAAATGACTTTCTGCAAAGTCGAGTGTACACAAATCACGTTACTTAATTATAGTATAAAATTATTTTACAGAGACATTTGGTATGTGATTGTTCGATTTAAAAGTTTATCTCCATTCTAACAAGTCAGGCTTGTGCCCAGACATGGTATTCCACTCTGTACGCGTATCAGGATGTACTTCATGTAAGCAAAGAAGAAAGACAGACAAGCTGGCAAGCAGGAAGAAGACGGAAATCCGTCACTAACACCACACATATCCATTTGATATGAATTTACATAACTAGCATTTCACGAAAGCAAGTGCTATTAAGTAAATGAAAAATAACTCCGAGTCATTCAGTGATGAACGTAAATGGAACCAAATAGCACTAATACCCGTCTCATGATCAG